ACTCCCCTTTCTGCGCTCCTTCCAAGATGGACAGCTCTCATTAACCATGAAAAGACTCCACCTCCGCTGCTCCCGCTGCCATAAAACCTCCTTCCAGTAGGAGTGGGGCCGTACTGTCTTGGGGATTGGTGTCTCCAGACAAGGAAGCTTTACTGACCCACCTCAGCTCAGCTGCCCCGGCTTCCTTAGCAGGGAGAAGGTCAAGGTGTTGGGTCCCAAGGGGCTACCTTCTACTTGTCAGAGAGTGGCCCTGGAACTCTGATCACTCAGCAATTTTCTTTCAGACCCCTGTCACCGCCCTCTTCCCCCCAGGGGAATGTGTGGTCTCTGCAGACTCCAAAGAGAATATGTTGGATTCGGGATCAGCAGATATGAGCTCACTTCACTTCAACCCAGTTCAACAAGGTCTGACTCACCCTGGCTGCTGAGCTTAGCAACTGTGCCCTAGCGCCATGCCAGCCCTGGTCACTACAGCTACCTCAACTATGCCCCAGATCCTGAGGCTACTGTGGGTCAAGGCCGCACTTCACACACTTTCCCCAAACTCTACATTCAATTCAGATCCAGATGAGGATGTGAGATGCTTGACACTTCCCCAGAGGGAAGGTCAAAGGTAAGACTATGGTGTCCGGTGATTTGCATTCCTGGCAGGTCTAACAACTCTTGAGCCCAAAAAGTAAAGATCTCCACAAAAGAAACAGCCTCTATTCCTACAGCTCTTAAAGGTACATAAAGCACTTTTGTCTCCAAAAACCAGCCACACCATCCCTCCAGTGATACTCCGCTGTTGCAGATTATTTATCCAGTTTCACAAGCACTTTGCTGGGGCTCAGATAACTTTGAAGCATCACAGGGAACCCTAATGTACTTCTCTAAACCCCCCAATTAGGGCCTCTTCTGGGGGGGCCTGCCCCTTCGTCACTTCCTATCACCTGGAAGATGGGGGCTTTCCCGGATTTGACAGCCTCTGGGGCCTGTGGTGAGTGGGGTGCCAGTGGGAGCAGGGGGCAGGAGGGCAAAGGTGAGAGAACCGCCTAGAGGCAGTTTGGCCCCTGCCTGCAGGAGGCATGCTGCTGCAGCCACATCCCAGGACAGGGATTCTTGGTACAACACTCAGGGCTTTTGAGCTCTAAACTTTCCCTTCGATCTGGTCTGTGTCTAGCAGAGATAACCCACAGCCAAATGGTAGCTCTGGCCGAGGGCACTAGAGAGGCCTCATCCCTTATATCAGTGGTGTCAAATTCAAAAAGAAATGGATGCCATCAAACCACATATAAACCATAAAACACACATAACCATACATACAGCGAGGTGGCACAGTGGATAAAACGCCTGGCCTGGAGTCAGGAAGACTCATCTCTCTGAGTTCAAACATGGCCTCAGAATGAGCTAGAGAAGGAAATGGAAAACCACTCCAGTATCTTTGCCAAGAAAACCCCCAAAAGGGTCACAAAGAGTCAGATATGCCTCAACAACAACAACAACAAAAATACATGAGGATCCCTGTGGGCCATATACTGATTTAAAAATCCACATATCAACATTACCTAGATTCTATTGTATTATTATCTATTTTGTCAAATGTTTCCCAATTACATTTTAATTTTTGTTCAGGCCACACCAGGGAGTGACAAAGGCCATGTATTTGATGACTCTGCCTTACCTTCTTTTACCTGCTCAAACTATCTCCTTCCCTTTATAGTGTGAATAATCCAGTGTCCCTTCCTCCCTTTAACGGATTCTCTAGAAACTTCCAATAAGCACCAAGTTCTCACTATTTGCCAAAGCAACATTATATCACAGATCTGACTGTGTCCCTCCTCTCTGCTCAAAAACTATCCAAGACCCTTACAACTTTCAGAAGTGGGTAATCATTACCGTCCCCATCATGAAGACACTGAGAGCAAGTGGGATGAGGTTGTTTGCAGAATCGTGTTAGCGGAAGCTGGCCCACAGACTGCCTGTGCGATCTTGAGCAGGGCACCGAGGGTCTCTGAGTCAATTGAGAATAATAATAACCCCAACATCACAGGATTGTTGAGAGGATCAAATGAAATAATGTTGAGAAAGTGTAAACTTTACAAAGCTATAGAAATGCTAGCTGGTAGCATTGTCATCATTATTATCATTTTTACCCAGAGCCCCACTTTAAGCTAGCAACAGATACGGATTAAAATTTCCTTTTGACTTCCAAGCCTGGGCTCTTTCTACTTATTTTTAAATAGCATTTCCCCTCCAGTTACATGTCAAGACAATTTTTAGCATTTATTTTTATAAGATTTTGAGTGCCAAATTTTTCTCCCTCCCCTCCCCTCTTCTTAAAATGGTAATCAATTTGATATAGATTACACATGTGCTATCATGTAAAACCTATTTCCATATTAGTCACAGCTGAAAAAGGAGAAACAGATCAAAAGGGGAAAAAACCACAAAAAAATAATAAAGTAAGTGACTCTGCACTCAGAGTCCATTAGTTCTTTATCCGGATGTAGACAGCATTTCCCTTCCTAAGTCTTTGGAATTATCTTGGATGTGTGTTGCTGAGAAAAGCGGAATCGTTCACAGCTGATTATCACATAACGTTGCTGATACTGTGTACCACGTTCTCCTGGTTCTGCTCATTTCACTTTGTATCAGTTTGTACAAATGTTTCCAGGTTTTTCTGAAGTCTGCCTGCTCGGTGTTTTCTTATAGCACAGTAGCATTCCCTGACATTCCTATGCCACAGCTTGTTCAGCCACTCCCCAATCGATGGGCATCCCCTCCATTTCCAATTCTAAGCCACCACAAAAAGGCTGCTACAAATGTTTTTGCACATGGAGGTCCTTTCTCCTTTTTTATGATCTCTTTGGGATACAGACCTAGTAGCGGCATTGCTAAATCAAAGGGCATGCACACTTTTGTAGCCCTTTGGGCACAGTTCCAAACAGCTTTCTAGAATTGCTGCATCAGTTCACAACCCCACCAACAATGTATTAGTGTCCCAATTTTCCCACATCCTCTCCAGCATGTATCACTTTCCTTTTTTGTCACATTAGCCAATCTGATAGGTGTGAGGTGGTACCTCAGAGTTGTTTTAATCTGCATTTCTCTAGTCAAAAGTGATTTAAAGGGGCAGCTAGGTGGCACAGTGGGTCTAGAGCACTGGCTCTGGAGTCAGAAAGACCTGAGTTCAAATCCAGCCTTAATCACTTAATACTAGTTGTGTGATTCTGGGCAAGTCACTTAACCCCAACTGTGTTGCAAAAAATAAACAAACAAAAAAACCCAAGACAATAAAAAGTGATTTAAAGCACTTCCTCATTTGCCTATAAATGTCTTTGATTTCTTCATCTAAAAACTGCCTGTTCATATCTTTGACCATTTATCAATTGGGGAATGTCTTGTATTCTCATAAATTTGACTCAGTTCTCTAAATATTTGAGAAATGAGCCCTTTATCAGAGACACTTGCTGTAAAGATTACTTCCAAGCTTTCTGCTTTCCTTCTAATTTTGGTTGCCTTGGTTTTGTTTGTGTAAAAGCTTTTTAATTTAATATAATCAAAATTTTCTATTTCACATTTTGTAACACACTCTGTCTCTTATTTGGTCATGAACCTGTAACTCACTTAACTTCTCCCTGAAGAATCTGGATGCTATATCATTTGGTACATGTGTGTTTAGTACTGATATCACTTCATCATCTGTGGTACCTTTTAGTAAGGTGAAGTTTCCTTCCTTACCTCTTTTCATTTGTTTTTGTTTTGTTTTGTTTTTGTTTTAGGCAGTTGGGGCTAAGTGAGTTGCCCAGGGTCACACAGCTAGTTAGTGTCAAGTGTTTGGTCTGAGGTCGGATTGAACTCAGGTCCTCCTGACTTCAGGGCCGGTACTCTATCCACTGCGCCACCTAGCTGCACCCCCTTATTTCTTTTCATCAGGTCTCTCTTTGCTTTTGCTTTGTCTGACATCAGGATCGCCACCCTTGCTTTTTTTTTTTAACTTCAGCTGAAGCACAACAGATTCTGCTCTAGCACCTTACCTTTACTCTGCGTGTGTCTCTGCTTCAAGTGTGTTTCTTGTAAACAACATACTATAGAATTCTAGTTTTTTCACATCTATCTATCCCCTTTTCTCCACTCAGTCACCTCCTGGTTTTGGCTCTCTTCCCCTCCACCATTGCAATCACCTCCTAATGGGTCTCCCTTCTCTTTGACACGTCAACCCCAGCTCCCTGTGACCTAGAGAATCATATCCCTCTGTTTGGCTCTAAGACCCTCTGTAACTTGGCCCCAATCGACTTTTCTAGTCTTTTTGCACATCCCTTCCACCAACACTGTGGTCTAGAGTGCCTTCTGGTTGTTCTTCGTGCATAGGACTTCATCCCCCCCCTCCCCCTCTGCCCCACTGATCCTCACTCCCGGAAGGCACCACCTCCTCACCTCCAGCTCTGGCAATCACTAGTTCCCATCAAGCTCAGCTGAAGTAGCCCTTTCTAGGAGAGTCCTTTCCTGCCTCCGGTTCTTCCCGAAGAACACCTCTGTTTTGCATGCATTCGGCACATGGGTTGTCTTTCCTGGATAGACAACAAGCCTCTTGGGTAGGGAGCATTTTCTTGGTTTCGCCTTTGGATTCCCAGCAGTGGGGGACCTTAAGGTTTGAGTGAATGGCTGGAAATGGCAGGAGGGAAGCTGAGAAGATATAGCTGACCACGACACCAGGGTCCTGAGTTCAAGTCTTTCCTTCACCACGAACTTGGCGCTAGGCCACTAGAGAAGGATCTTTTCAATCGAACCAAGCTGAACTGAAAGAGACAGTTGAACAAATGATTTCTAACACCCCTCTCAACGCTGACCTTCCAGGTTCTGAGAGCCCTCCCAGCTCTGACATCCCCTGTTCTCAAGGCCCTCCCAACTCCTCCAACTCTCCCGAGAGGCAAACGCGGCTCCCTGGCAGACCTGCGCAGGACCCCTCCGCCCCCCGCCCCGCCCCGCCCCGCCCCTTCCTGCTTCTTCTGGACCTCAGGATCCTCAAGGCCTTCGAGGCCACCTCCTAACCGGTGTGGTTTGCTCTGCTGCCCACAGCAGAGGCGGCGGCAGCCACGGCGTGAATCCCTGTCCCGGAGCTGGGCGGGCTTCCCTGGGTCTGACCCTCCCCCAGCCCGGCGCATCCCTGGGCCGGACGCCCCGCCGGGACATCGGACGCTCCGAGCCGCCTCATTGGGCGGCTGCTCGGCCTCATTTACGTAGTCGTCCGCTCCCCGGAGCTTGGAGATGCCCGGGGCGTGCTGATTGAAAGGCCGACGTCACGAGCGGCTCCTACCTACTAGACTGGTCTGGAAACGAGCGCCGCACTTGGAGCTGACTTCAGAGCCTGCCTGCTTGTCTTCTGCTCGCTGCTGCGTCCGCCCGGGCAGCTGCCTGGGACTCTGCAGTAGGACCTCAGGCATGGCAGAGCAGATGCGGGGCTGGAGCCTGTCCTTTTCTGGCTGCGGTTTCATGGGCTTTTACTACGTTGGGGTAACCCAGTGCCTGAGCGAGCACGCCCCGCAATTGCTGCGGGACGCCCCCAAGATTCTGGGCGCCTCGGGCGGGGCCCTGCATTGTGTCACCTTCTTGTGCGGGATCTCACTCGGTGCGTGAGGACCCTTGCCCTCTTTCCAAGGGCCGGTAGTCTCGGGGCTGTGGGTCCGCAGGTACTGCGCTGGGACGAGCCCTGGCTGGCCTTCTTGGCCTGAGAATTCGTCAGTGCCGGCCCCTGAGCCGAGGCAAGGATAGGAGCCATCCATTCACGTCCAAGGAACCAGGAGGCGAGAGAGAAACAGACAGGAGCCCGGGCTTCCCCCCCCCCCAAAAAAAAACCCCCTCTGGAACAGCTGGCTGGCCGGCTGCTTGCTTCTCGCTCCCTTCCTCCCCCCTTTCTTTGCCCTTCTCCGTTTCCTCTCCGCCCCTGGCTCAGGCTCTCCCCTCTCACCCATCCCTTTCCAAAGAAGAAGGGGGGTCCCAGGGTGGATGACCTGGAGGCTAGGGCTGGTAGACACGCTAGGCAGAGGGACTGGACCCAGGGTTTCATTTGTAGAGGCAACCTCTCCCTCTACACTCTACAGGTGGCCAGGTTCGTAAAGTGTTTGTCCAGACCACAGAAACGTTAAGGAGCTTGCTGAAGTCACCCAGCCGGCAAGTGTCAGGGGCAGAACTGACCCCAGGTCTTCCCGGCTCAGGGACCAGCTCCCCTAGGCACCAAGTCAAGCTGGGAGGAGGGGGCCTCGCAGCCAAGGCAGGCAGGCAGTAAACGTTTATTAAACGCCTACTAGGTGCCAAGCACTGTGCTAGGTGCTGAGCTTACAAAGAAAGGCCAAAGACAGTCCCTGCCTTCGATGAGTTTACAATCTAAGGGGCACCCCGAAGCGAGAACAAAGCCGGCAAAGCTTGTGAAGGTCATCAGAGGACCTGGGAAATAGACCGGCTGTTCTTCTTTCCGAGTTTGTTTACCTTCCTCTCTAAAGTGACAGGGTGGACTAAATCATTTCCATGACCACTCCCTGCTTTGGAATTCTGTGAGGAGAGATGATCAGTTTCCTAACTGAAGATTGTCTGGGGCTTTCAGATTCCTTACAATCCTTCTTCCCTGTGGAGATGCTTTATCTCAGGTCTTAAACGCAAGGCTTTTCATTTATTTATTTTTTAGAGGGAGGCAAATTTTAGAGAAGGCTTAAAATGTAAATGATCCGAGACCAGGTTCTACATTCCAGTCAATTCACTCACAAGTCCTTTTCTGAGAGCAGCCCTTTGCCGAAGGAACCTGGGTTAGCTGTGGGGATCTGGCTGGGCAAATCATTCTGGTCTCCCCCTAAATCTCCCTTTCAAACCTGGGAAGGGTGGTGTTGGAGGGAGAATCAGTTGGATGGCGTAAAGGGGATCCAAGAAAAGCTTGACAGTTGTGTCCAACTCCTGGTGACCCCATTTGGGGTTTTCTTGCAGAGACTTTGGAGTGGTTTGCCATTTCCATCTCCCACTCGTTTTACAGATGAGGAAACTGAGGCAAACAGGGTGACGTGACTACACAGCTTAGTAAATGTCTGAGGTCAGATTTGAACTCAGGAAGATGAGCCTTCCTGACTCCAGGTCCAGCATTCTATCCATTGTGCCACCTAGGTGCCCCTTATTGGGCCCATTGAACAATGTGGGATTTCCTAGAGAACAGTATGAAGTCTTCTGCTTTCCAAGAATTCAAGATCCCCTGTAGAAGGTGAAGTGGCATGGCCAGGTAGGTGTCTGTCTGAAAAAGATCTGTGTTTTGATAAACTGCAATTCCTTGTGAGTCTGAAGTGTGATAGGGCAGCCAGAAAAAGCTGAGCAGCTCGTGGGCTCCTCCAGGGAGAGGAGGGGAGGGGAGGGGAGAATCCTTTGTCTTGCACTCAAACCACACCTGGATTGTCTGTTCAGCACTAGGCTGCATAGGTTAGGAAGGGTATGGATAAACCAGGAGAGTCCTGAAGTGGTCAAGAGCCTTGAGACTCAGCCTAAGGACGAGCTGAAAGGTCTAGGGATGCTCAGCCTGGAGCAGAGAAGACAGCTAGGGGAGGAGGTGGGGATGCCAACTGTCTCTGAAACTTTTGTGAGGTTGTCATATGGAAGCCGGATCAGGCTAGGTCTGGATGGCAGAAACCCCAGGTGGAAGTCATCAAAAGGCAAATTTAGGTTTGAGCCCAGGAAAAACTTAACAGATGGATGGCCTGATGTGAGGCGAGGGGGGGGGGGCGGGGGCTCCTGTTAGTGGGAGGCAGAGGCTTCCCTTCCCAGAGGCCTTCAAGCATAAGCTGGCTGGTTGTGAAGAGGGTTCCAGTTAGGGCAGAGGCTAGACCTGGTGTGCAGCTTCTGAGGCCCGTGATTCTGCATCTATAAAATGGGAAGACAACACCAGGCTGGTTACTGACTGGCTTTTTAGTAGGAAAATGCTTTTCGAAGGGTAGGCAGGGGGTTGACTATAATGAGGTCACAAGGTGTGGGCCACAAGGAAGGGAGGTGTAAGATGGGTGGTGGTGCCATCCCCAGGCTGAGGCCTGGTGGCAAGGAGATTTAATTAGGTGGTGGAGAGAGCTGAAGGAATGAGTCCATGAATGGTTCTCGGATCTGCAGCCCAGAGGCCAGGTTCTTTTGAAGCCTTCCCTTCAGCAGCCCTGAGAAACTGGGGGTCTTGGCCGCTGCGACCATTCTGGGGAGACCGTGTTGCTTCTGGGCACTGCGGTCTGCTGCTGTAGGGAAAGGGGGACTCTGGCTGACTGCACTCCTCCTTGTTTTTCTGACAAACTTGGGGGTTGAACTTTATTTGATTAATAGCTGACTTTCTATAGCCCTTTTATGTTTGCAAAGAGCTTTAGGGACAGTTCAGACGTTCTAAGTACCTACTTGGTGCCAGGTACTGTGTTGGGATAGAGAGATAAAAGTGAAACCAGGCCTGTCCTCAAGGAGCTTCCACTCTACCCAGATGAATAAACAAAAGAAACAGGATATCCTCAAAATCCTGGGACACCCTGCATAGAGGAAGTATTAAGGGGAGTGGTACCAGGAAAGGCCTGGGGCCTCTGAGGTGGCATTTTGGCTGAGCTTTGTAAAATTCTATTTTATCTCAATTCACAGCAATTTACCTTCTCTCCTTCCTGCCCTCCCCCACTGAACTAGAAAGAGCAGCCTTAGAGCAGTGTCAGTACAAGGCCAAGCAAAACAGACTCCGACATTGGCCAAGACCAAAACTATGGCTCTCAGTCTGCTCCCAGAATCCATCCCTTCTCGGTCAGCAGGTGGGCGGCAGGCTTCACCGTGAGATTTCAAGACGCTCCCCAGTCATTACGCTGGTCACAGCTCTTAAGTCTCTCGAAGCTGTTTGTCTTATGACTTTGTTGTCATTGTATACATTGTTTTTCCGGTTCTGCTGCCTTCGCTCTGCATCAGTTCATACAAGTCTTCTCAGTTTTCTTTGAAATGTCCCCTTCAGGACCGTGTAGACCAATTTCCTCTTTTCACAAGAAGGAAACTGAGGCTTAGAGGTGGATGTGACTGCCCAAGTGACTGCCCAAGTTCACGGAGTGACAGAAACTAGGTCCAAACCCAGGTCTCCTGACTTTCATTATGTTCTTTCCAGTGCGTCATATTGCCTCGTATTCATAAGTGAAAAAAATAAGCTGGGAATCATTTTCCTTTCTTTTAGATTCCAAATAAAAATAGAATTCAAATTTTTAAAAAATGTACCCTTCATTTCTAGAGGAAGCTGGGTGGCAGAGTAGGTAGGACCCTGGGTCTGAAGTCAGGAAGACCTGAGTTCAAATGTTGCCTCAGACATTCAGCAGCCATGTGACCGAGGCCAGTCACTTGACCAATGTCTTCCTCAGTTGCCTTATCTGTAAAATGGGGATAATAATCACACCAATCTTCCAGGGTTGTTGTGAGGATCAAATGAGACAGTATTTGTAAAGCACTTAACGTCTTGCCTGGCACATAGGAGGTGCTAATAAATGATAAATATTCTTAATTTAAAAATTTGTCATTGGTCTGAGCTCTGAATGTAGCTAGGAATTCTAAGAGGTGGAAGTGAGGAAAGAGCGCATTCCAGACACTGGTAACACCTTGGACAAAGGCGTGTTGATTGGATATAGAATCTCTTCCATTAAATTTTTTTAATTTCAATTTTATTTAATTTTCAATTCTAAATTCCCCCCACCCATTGAGAAGGCAAGAAATCCAATTCCCATTACATATATGAAGTCATGCAAAACATTTCTCCATTAGGCATGTGGGTGGGGGGGGAAGGGAGAAAAAAAAAAGATAAAGCCTGATTTAGTTTGTACTCTGAGTTCATCACTTCTCTATCTGGAGGCATGTTGTTCATTTGGCTGGAATATGGTGCATGAGTGAGATATGTCTGCATGGCTATGTAGGAACATGTTGTGAATGGCTTTAAATGCCAAACTAAGGACTCTGCGTTTTATCCGAGAGGCAAGAGGGAGCTACAGATGCTTCTGGAGCACAGAGGGGCATGGGCAGACCTGTGCTTTAAGAATATTACTTTGATTCAAATCTGGCCTCAGATACATAACACTTACTAGCTGTGTGACCCTGGGCAAGTTACTTAACCCCGTTGCCTAGCCAAAAAGAAAAAAAAAGGAATGTTACTTTGGCAAACAGTAGGCACTTAATAATGCTTGTTGGATGTCTCTTGGAGGAGCCATTGGAGAGACCATAGAACAAAGCTTGGAACCATCCCTGGGACTAGAGGAGATACCCAAATTCCCTGTCCTTTGAGGGAGGGATGCCTCCTTTTTCTTCCTCCAACCCAGGGCCAGACTATTGTGGGAGCCCCAAGTAGGGCCCATCTGGCTTAGTAGGTCATGCAGGAAGTCTGAGAATCTCCTCTTCTCCACGTGGAGCTGGGGCTCCCAAAGGTCCCCCTGGCACATTAGATAATGCCCTTTTATCAGTGTCTCTGCCTTTCATTATCTGGCTTCCTGATTACACTTTGCTCAAGGGATGACTTCCGGGAGGGCATGAGGTAGAGGGGGCCTCGAAAAGCAGCTCTCCTGACAGGGCTGCAATTGGGCAGAAGCCCTGAGCTGACCAGGAGGTGGATAAGCAGACAGGGCTGTCCTGGCTCTTTGCCCAGCTGCCTTCCCCAGTGGCAGAAGACGAGCAAAGGGTGTTGGAGTGTGGCCCAATTTTAAGGCTCTGGCCAGGGTTAGTTACCCAGCCAGTTTTTTCCCCGTTGAATTCATCCTCTTTCTACTCTTGGGGCCCCTCAGTCTCAGGAACTTGGCCTCCTTCAGTACGGGGGAGCAAAACCATCTTTGGGTGTAGGCTAATCTGGATTTCACGTTGTGGCTAATTAAAATACAGGGTTGATGGATGGACCTTGCCAACATTCTCAGTGTTCATTTAGAGTGAGAGATTACATGTGACAGCAGACAGCAGACTTAGTCTCTACCCAACCCAGGCTGGCAGGGATTTCTATCTAAAAGACCTTCCTAGCTGGCTTCTGCTTTCCTGCAGCAGGTCTCCCAGTGGACAAACATGGACACTTCCTTAGAACTCTGGTGCTGACACTGTTCATGATCAACTTTAATAGATGTAGCCCTTCTCAGCAATGCAAGAATCTAAGACATCTCCAAAGGCCTCATGATGGAAAATGCTATCCACATCCAGAGAAAGAACTGTGGAGATTGAATGCAGATCAAAGCATACTGTTTTCTCTTTTTTTTCTTTCTTGTGGTTTTTCCTTTTTGTTCTGATTCTTCTTTCATAACGTGACTAATATGGAAATATGTTTACTATGATTGTACATGTATAGCCTATATCAGATTGCTTACTATCTTGAGGAGGGGAGATGGGAGGGAGTGAGAAAAAAATTTGGAACTCAAAATCTTATAAAAGCAAATATTAAAAATTATCTTTACATGTAATTGGAAAAAATAAAATACTATTAAGTGAGGGGAAAAAAAGAATTCTGGTGCTAGAAGGACCTTTAGGGATCACATAGTCTAAAGCCTTCCTTTAAAAGGTGGTCTTTTTTAGTCCCCACAAAGTGGGGACACTAGGATTAGAACCCAGGTCTAGTTCAGTACTCTGATTACAGATGTAGAGCTGGAGGAGCCCCCCTCACTTTACAGATGAGGAAACTGAGGCCCAAGGAAGGGCCTTGTCCCTTGTTGTCCAAGGTCACACAGGAAATCATCCTTCAAGGTAGGAACTGCTTGAGGAATTACACGGAGTGAGAGGCAGGAGTGAGGAGGGATGTGTTCTAGGCACAGGGTATAGACAGTGCCAATGCATGGAGAAGGAAGGATTGTCATGTGGGAGGAAGAGGGAGAAGGCTAATTTGACTGAACCCAAGAGTTTATGAATGAGGGGAATGGGTAATGAGGCGTGAAACAAGTTGGGTCTGCAAAGGGTTTGAAATGCAAAACACAGAAGTTTACATTTCCTCCTATATATACTAGGGACCTCTTAGAGGTGCTGGGAGCAGCGGATCCCATAATCACACCTAGGTCTTGTCTTTAAATCCTATTATCTCATGAGTCAGAAGGGACCTTGAAGGTTAACTAGACTAACCCCGATCTAAAGTACAAAACCCTCTACAATATCCCTAACCATGGGTCAGTAAGCCTCCACTTGGAACCCCTCTACTGATGCGGAGCTCATTACCTAACAGGACAGCCTCAACCAAATCCTCTAATTTGTAAAAATATAATTCTTTCCACCCCCCCAGAACATCGGCTCCAAATTCTCATGGACCTCGTCAGAAGTGCCAGAAAGCGCAATATTGGTGTATTGCATCCTTCCTTTAATCTGTTCACACATATCCGTGATGGTCTAAACGAAATCCTCCCCTCTAATGCTCACAAGCTGGTCTCTGGCAAAGTGGTCATCTCACTCACCAGAGTGTCTGATGGGAAAAATGTATTGGTATCAGATTTTGATTCCAAGGAAGAGATCATTGATGTAAGTATGTGGTTCATATGTGTGCGCTTAGCTGCTTGTGTCAAACAGTTGTCTGCCGATGGGGGCTCTTTGTGTTCTTTCTCTTAAATATGCCTTGTTCATGTCACCCCTGATGAACGGAAAGGGTTTGAGAAGGGAGTGATCATGAAGGTTTAGCTTCTCATCCTGATTTTCAGTCTGCCCAGGACTCATTGTGTGAGTAGGGGAAAGACCCCCTTGGCCCACCAGGCTTTTTAACTGTTATAATGTAGGGATAGGGTACACCGGCCATCCTGGATCTTTCTTGCCTAACCAACACATCGACTAAGTCTTGTCTTAGTTGTACACGCAGCATTCCCCACCCGTGGTCCCCCAGATCTCCAGTGAGGGAAGGGAGAGGAATATTTTTGTCTGTTTCTTCTGTCTGAGCCATTTAACATTTATTGGGCTTCTACTACACAGAAGGTGCCACATTGGAAGCTTGGATCAGAAGATATTAAGATGCTTTTTTTTTCTTTTTCATTCATGATGTCATTGCCATTTTAATTCTGGCTAATTTTTCATAAACTCTGCCCAATATATGCCCACATGGCTTAGCAGACAGGTTCATGTTAATGGGGTGAGAAGCCCTGTTTTTACAGTCAAACCAGTTTGGTTCCTTTTCTCTCTGAAAAACAAAACGAAACACTTTCCAGAGAAAGTTTCCAAGCTTCCATTTGGCAAGCTGACTTATTGAAATAGCCTGTCCCCCTCCCCTTGTCTTTAGCATCTTATCAAATCAATCAGCCACCAGATGTGTCTTGGCGTGGAGGATACTGTGAATGAGATGGTGAGGGAGGTGGTTTTAGCGATATGAGGCTGCTACTGAAGGCCTACTGTGTGCAAAGAAGGTGGGAGAAGGGCTTGACAGCTTGGAAGTGGTTGCTTGTGTAGACCCACATCAGTTGTCCCAGTCCCTACTACTACTGCTACAAAAATGGCTTGTGGCTCTTGAGACTAGACGCTGCCTCTTACCTGTGATCTCATTGTCTCCTGTTCTCCACAGGCTTTGGTTTGTTCCTGCTTCATTCCATTCTACTGTGGCTTAATTCCCCCAACTTTCAGAGGTGTGGTAAGTCCTGGCTTGGGGGCTATTGCTGAATACTAAAAGTCCTTTACAGAATAAGAAAGAAGTTAACTGACTTGCCTAGAATCACCCAACTAATAAGTGTCTGGGGTTGGATTTGAACTCAGGTATTCAGGAGTCCAGAGCCCTGTGCTTTCTGGCACCCCCTCGCTACCTCAGTCTAATAATACAATATGAGATACGTTTTTTAACCTACCCCATACAGAGCACTGTGCAAGGTGCTAGAAGAGATACAAAGTTGTGGGCCACTGTCCTCAAGAAGCTTCAGTCTGGAAGAGGGATAAGCCCCAAACATGGATATTTAGAAAGCATTTATTAAGCTCTTAATGTGTGCAAAGGCACCGTGCCAGGAGCCTGGATGTAAAGACAAAAATGGACACACAGCACGGAAGTGAACAATATTCCACAAAAGGTATAGATATAAAGGACCCAGCAGCTTCAGATGTTCCTGGTATTCAACAAGGAAGTTTTATTCATTTATATCATGCCTAAATGCTTCCAAAGCACTTTCCACACAGCAACCTTGTGAGGTAGACAGTACAAGAATTTTATCCCTGTTTTACAGGTTCAGAAACTGAGGCCCAGATAGACTGATCTCCTATACCACATGACCTGTTTAGATGCCGAGCACCTTCTGTGTATTCAGCCCTAAGCTGAGCTTTGTGAGGAATACAGGAGAAGTAGATTACTGGGCTGGAGAAGGCAATGGCCAGCCACTCATGTCTCGGCCAAGAAAACCCCAAATGGGATCACGAAGAGTTAGACAGGACTGAGTGAACCCAACAACAAAGCTGTATGGAGCACCTGCCAGACTTACTGAGGCATCAAGAACAATCTATGTGAAACAATGAGCAAGAGATGCTAGATAGAACACAATCTGGTATCAAGGTGGGCACACAGGACTACGGAAAGGTCTCAGGGTCTTTCTAGGTTCAGATTATAGGGAGGTCACTTCAGGTAGATTCACGCAGGCAGTGTGGAATAACAACAGTTATTCGTGCTTCCATGGATGTCTGGCTGGGTCTCCAGATGGCATAAAAGCTCTGATTTCTAATTTCTGGGTCTCTCTCTCTCTCTCTCTCTCTCTCTCTCTCTCTCTCTCTCTCTCTCTCTCTCTCTCTCTCTCTCTCTTGTCTCTCTGTCTCTGTCTCTCCCCTCTCCTCTCCTCTTTCTCTCTCCTCTTCTCTTCTCTTCTCTTCTCTTCTCTTCTCTTCTCTTCTCTTCTCTTCTCTTCTCTTCTCTTCTCTTCTCTTCTCTTCTCTTCTCTCCTCTTCTCTTCTCTTCTCTTCTCTTCTCTTCTCTTCTCTTCTCTCCTCTTCTCTTCTCTCCTCTCCTCTCCTCTCCTCTCCTCTCCTCTCCTCTCCTCTCCTCTCCTCTCCTCTCCTCTCCTCTCCTCTCCTCTCCTCTCCTCTCCCCTCCCCTCCTCTCCTCTCCTCTCCCCTCCCCTCCCCTCCCCTCCCCTCCCTTCCCCTCCCCTCCCCTCCTCTTCCCCTCCCCTCCCCTCCCCTCCCTCCTCTTCTCCTCCCCTCCCTTCCCCTCCCCTCCCCTCCTCTTCTCCTCCCCTCCCCTCCCTCCCCTCCTCTTCTCCTCCCCTCCCCTCCCCTCCCCTCCCTCCCTCCCCTCCCCCTCCCCTCCCTCCCTCCCCTCCCTCCCCCGTCCCCCCCCCTCCTCTCCCCTCCCCTCCCTCCCCTCTCCTCCCTCTCCTCTCCTCTCCTCTCCTCTCCTCTCCTCTCCTCTCCTCTCTCTCCTCTCCTCTCCTCTCCTCCTCTCCTCTCCTCTCCCCTCCCCTCCTCTCTCTCCCCTCCTCTCCCCTCCCCTCCCCTCCCCTCCCTCCCCTCCCTCCCCTCCCTCCACTCCCTCCCCTCCCCTCCCTCCCTCCCTCCCTCCTCTCCTCTCCTCTCCTCTCTCCCTCCCCTCTCCTCTCCTCTCCTCCCTCCTCTCCCCTCCCCTCCCCTCCCCTCCCTCCCCTCCCCTCCTCTCCTCTTCTCCTCTCCTCTCTTCTCTTCTCTTCTCCTCTCTCTCCCCCATTGTTTATAGTTACACACACAGAGAGAAGACACCGATAGAGAGAGATGAGGGAGGGGGAGAGAGAGATGTGAGAAAAGCCCGTAATCAGAGTCTTCACAGACGCTTTAAGCACATAGTGGCCAAATTGCTTTGGAAATGTACACTCTTATTTGGAAAAGGTCAGGAGGAGTATAGGTAAAGAAGAAGAGAAAAACCAGTTTCCACAAATGGAAACTATGTCCAAATTTCGAGAAAAAGCTGCCTGTCCCTCATTGCTCCCCATGGACTAGAGCTGGGATTTCTCCGCACGGCGGAGCGACATCCTGGCTAGGAAACGCCCTGTGCGTGGTCTACCAAGGCTAGTTGATACTTTCTCTGCCACTTATCCCGAGAGTGGCCTCGGACAGACCCCAAGAGGTTAAAGGATGTGCCCGGGCACACACGGGTCAGGGTTGGGACTTCAAGCCAGGCCTTTCTGGCTCACGGGCTGACTCCTGGCGGAATGGAAGCGACTCTGGATTGCAGAAAGTGTGGCCGGTGGAGCTCAAGCTCTGGCAGACGCATCCAGCAGGAGTGTGGTGATGAAGAAGACATCTGTAAGGGCTCATCACCAAAAAGGGTGCTGTAGCAATGCCCAGGATGCGTGTCATTGGGGGGGATTATAACAGCAAGATGCCGTGCCTTAAAAACAAAGTGAGAAGCAAGTGAAGGATGCGAAGTCTTTCTTCCTGGGGCAGGAGTAGGGTAGGGGGCACACGACTGGCTGCTGGTCACTCTCGGAAGTGGTTTCTTTCGGAGGCCACTTCTGGACTGGCTCACGTTCAGAGCTAGTTCTCCCAAGGCCATCAAACATCAGACCGACTTCTCTTTCAGTGGAGCCTGTCGGCATAATGAGAGCATGGAGCCAGGGGTTTGTCTCTCTGTGTGACAGCATGTCTGATGAGAAGCTCACTCTAGGGAAGGTGGGAAGAACTATGTCAATGCCTGTGATGACGCTTCCCTTTCACCCCTCTGCCCAAAGCGATACGTGGACGGAGGAGTGAGTAACAATGTGCCTCTCATTGACGCCAGCACCACCATCACCATTTCTCCTTTCTATGGGGAGCACGACATCTGCCCCAAAGTCAAATCGACCAACTTCCTTCATGTGAACCTCACCAACATGAGCTTCCGACTCTGCTCGGGCAACTTTTATCTTGCAGCCAGAGCCCTTTTCCCGCCGGAGCAGAAGGTATGTGATGCTGTTGCCCATGCCTGGCATGGACTTGCTGCCCTGGCCCTCCCCTCCGCTAGTGTTCTGCCTGTCTCCACAGGACCCTCCCTTATAACCAAGTAAAACACTACAGCTCTGTTCTGTTGAGCAACGTCAAGACTGACAACTGACCCGTGGCCCACCACATCTCAAAGACATCCCCTTTGTCTCTGTCCTCCTTTTCTTCAGGGACCAGCTCTGGGGTCATCAGACATACCTCGCGATTATCCCATACTTTATACTCACTACCTAAATGACCTTGGCCAAGTCACTTCCCCTTCTAGGGCCTCAGTTGCCTCATCCATAAGAGGAGGCAGCTGGACTGCATGGCCTCTGAGCTCCTTTCCTGCTCTAAACCAATGATCCTATGACCTCCTACATAAAATATTCCCTAATCCCCAGCTACAAGTATTGTCTCCCTCCTAGATTTCTCCTGGAACTTCCCAGGACCATTCCTCAGCCCTCAGCTCAGTCTCTCCTGTTAGTAGGCTATATGTGTCTATAGCTTTCCCATGGGGGCTGTCTTGGCATCCCCTGTACCTATCTCTGGGCCTCCAGCACTCAGTAGTAGAGATTTGTTCAGTTGAATAGATATCACTTCATGCCCAGGAAAAAGTGAAGACCAGAGGAAAAGTCCAGGAAGTGAATGTTCCTGTATGAAGGGATGCCTGCCCCAATGCACAGAGGGCAGTTTTAAGTGTTGTGTTGATGTGTGCTAATGATCTAGGGTATTCTGTGTCACCAGGGACATTCAAAAGGAGTTGAGGAGGAAGGATGTGTATGAACTGGGATTGCAAAGCCAAGACCCTGCTTTGCAGGTATGAAAACGGGATTCAGTGATCGATAATCCCGGGCAGCCAGGTGGTACAGGGGATGGAATCCTGAGCCTGGAGTCAGGAAGTCGTTCCATCGTCTCAGTTGTATCCAACTCTTTGTGACCCCATTTGGGGTTTCCTTAGCAAAGATCCTGGAGTGGCTTGACAACTGAACTCAACTCAGGTTTTCCTGAGTTCAAATCTGGCCTCAGATACTTACTAGCTGTGTGACCCTGGGCAAGTCATTTCACCCTGTTTGCCTCAGTTTCCTCACCTCTAAAATGAGCTGAAGAAGGAAATGGCAAACCATACCAGTATCCTTGCCAAGAAACCCCCAAATGAGGTCACAAAGAGTTGGATATAGGGGACAGCTAGGTGGCACAGTGGATAGAGCTCTGGCCTTGGAGTCAGGAGGACCTGAGTTCAAATCTGGCCTCAGACACTTGACACTTACTAGCTGTGTGACCCTGGGCAAGTCACTTAACCCCAATTGCCTCACCAAAAAGGAACAACAACAACAAAAAAGAGTTGGATATACCTGAAGTGACCGAACAATTGATAATCAAGAGACAGCACAGCACAGCACAGTGGATTCAGAAGAACCTGAGTTCAAGTCTTGCCTCTGATACTTCCTGGCTATGTGACCCTGGGCACGTCATTGTATTTCTAGGTACCCTAGGCAGCTCTTGGAGGCTAGAAGTAGCAAACCAGTTATTCATCTGTATCAGTGAAGAGAAATCGTGGGTCAAGACCAGCACAGAATGGCTCTTTGCCTCCTCCAGACAACACTGGCAGTGATAACAAATCACTCAATAAAAGCCAGTAAACATGTAAGCTCTTGAGATCCCTTAGATAATGGAGCTAACACTCAAACATTTATAAAAAGCCAACTGTCTGTCCTTATTTTTAAAATAAGTCTTTATCAAACAGCCACAAAACCCACAGAAGAACATTCCACAAACTCTTGGGCTCTCATTCAGTGCGCACTGAAATGTGTGGGAGCCTGGCTTGGGTTGCTTTGTCCAGTCGGGGTAGTTGAGTGCCCCAAGAGTGTCTTGGGCTTAAGACTCTGGGACTATAGAGCCCTGTTAAAGCCTCTTGGGAACAGGGTTCCTTAAAACAGACACTTACCTCAGGCTAATCTGCCCTGGTGTCACCATTTTCCTTCCTGTGGCTTACTCATCTGGCTTGTTTATAGGTACTTGGAGAGATCTGTCTTCGGGGATATTTGGACGCACTTAGATTCTTGGAAGAAAAGGGTATGTTGATGCTTTGGTAGTATCAATGTGGTCTCTCTGGTGACCTGACTGAGTAGAGCAGAAGTAGGAGTGACTGGGGGAGGTGGGGAGGGAAGTGGCAAGTTTGGGCTTGATATAAGAAAAACAAAACTGATTAATAATTAGGACTGTCCTTGGGGAATGGATAGCTTTGGGAAGGTCCTCCTTTAGTCGAAGACTTCTAGGCTGGATGAGTGTCTGTTGGGTTGGATGGCTGTCTGTTGGCTATGTTGTAGAAGGGGCTCCAATTCAGGGTTGGGTTGGACTAGATGAGATAGTTTCTGAGGCCTCTTTAGACTAGGAAATTCTAACTGAGGATCCACCCTCAAAAGATCCATGAATGTATTACAGGGGATCCTTTACCTTAAGTGGGAAAAATGCATCTTTGTTTTCACTACCTCTAACTGAAATTGATCACTTCCTTCAAATTATACATTTGAAAAAGCATTCTTTTGAGAAGAGGGCCATGACATAGGTGAAGAACCACTGCAATAGACCCTAAGAATCTGGCATTTCGTGACGACATTGATTAGCATTTAAAAAGTGAAGTAGTCCCATAATCATTTCAGCTCAGTAGCGAACTCTGGATTGCTCTTTAGGTATACTTCCATGTTACTTTAGCATTCCAACAGTAACTCTCACACGTGGTTCTCAAACAGCTAATACTGTTTGTTCTCTAGCTTGAGCCATTTGTTCTGATGGTTTACGTGATGGGCGTCTTCATGGGAAAGGCATTTGAATTGCTGGCTCTGAAGCCCCGCCGTGAGTCCTGGCTGTTGGATGTGTTCAGCCCCTTCTGTCCATCGCTCCCCCATGCCAGGTGGCTCAGTTATACCTCCTCGTGTTATTCTTCCCAAGCTGGGTTTAAACACTGTTGACATAGAGCCAGGTTGTAGTTGGGTTTTCAGGTGTTCACCTGCATGTTGACGTTACTGATTCGCCTAATTCCTCTTTGGTTGAGGTGAAAGACTTTCCCAGAATCAGAATTTGGAAGAAGTCTCCACGGCTGCCTGACCTAACCTCAATGGCAATCCCCACTGTAGCATAACTAGACACTGCTTGAAGTTCTTTGGGGATGGGGACCTTCCTGCCTGCTGAAGCAGCCCATTCATCTGCCTTTAGAAGGCTCTCATTCTTAGGAAGTTTATCCTTTTGTGAAGGAACATCTGCCCTTCTGTTGTTCAGACTTCTGTCCTCTGGGCCAAGGAAAATGAACCCAGTTCGTCCCTCCTATAGCACAGCCATTCAGATATAAGACAACTGCACTCACACATCCCCAGAGCCTTCTCCTCTCCACACAAAGCATTCCTAGTTCCTTCAGTGCCTTGGAAGGCACAGTTCTCCAGGCCTCTCACCATCTTGTTTACCTTCCTCCCATTGGTTATACTTCATTTTTCAGTGTTCTTCCCACATTGTGTTATCTATAGAATTGAGGATAACACCCCAGATGAAGTCTGACCAAGGAAGAGGTCAGGGCTCTCCACTTACCCTGTGCCTCTATCAGGGCACTCAGAATTGGCTAGCACAGATCTCCAACCCCACTGTCTATTCTCAGCAATAGGCCAGAAAGAGCCAAATCATTTGCTTGAAGGCAGAAACAAAGACACACTTACTTTTTGTCTTCTCATACAAGAGAACAACTCTGGCTTCCATTTGGATAGCTCCCTGACTTTCGTGATCTCACATAGAGTCATAGAATGGCAGAGCTGATTAGAGCTGTTCTAGTCCTGTGCTTCTCAGAGGGGTCCTCATACCCCTAGGAGTCCCTGAGGGCCTTTCAGGAGGACCTTGAGGTCAAAGCTATTTTCATAATGATACTAAGACATTTTAATTTCTAATGTGGTAAATATTGATAGCTGTAACCCATATAAACAAAAGCTGTCTTCTGGGAGTCCTCAATTTTTTTCTTCTTCTTTTTTGGCAAGGCCCAGGGTCACCCAGCTAGCAAGTGTCCAGTGTCTGAAGCCGCATTTGAACTCAGGTCTTTCTGACTCCAAGGCCAGAGCTCTAACCACTGTGCCACCTAGCTGCCCCTGAGTCCTCAATTTTTAAGAGGGCCCTGACACCAAAAAAGCTTGAGAATCACTAGGCTTGTCCACCCTCTTCATTTCACAGATATGGAAACTGGTCCAAGGAATTAAAGAGCTTATTTGAGGTCATACACAACCAGTTAGTGGCAAAACTAGGAGTAAAACCCAAGTCCTTTGGACCCCCCCCCAAACTGTGCTAGTCTAATATTGCCCGCACACACCTCCCATCCCTGCCCTGGGCAGTATGAGGTGTTATCATCCCCACAGAGGAAACCAGGGCTCAGAAAAATGAAAGACGTCAATCATCAGCTGTCTAAGAAGTGTCAGAGCAGGGAGCCTGACTTCTAGTCCAGGGCTCGGCATCAAAAGCTACTTCTCCAAGGCCAACACCAATGGGAAGAGGTTCCCGGGGAGGACTTTCCACTTTGGGGCAGGCGGCTCTTGGATACCTAGTGCTGGCCCTTTCTTCTATCTAAAGGGATTATGTTTCTGCTGGTGAGCTCAGTGTCTCTCATTCACATGTGTACACCGTGATCCCCTTGAACCAATTATGGGCTGACTGCTGTGTCCAAAATTAGATGTGACCTTTCTTTCCTTTGTCCTCTTGCTCACCCTAGGCATCTGTGACCCATCGCCTCCTTGTTTGAATGTGCCTTTGGAAGAGAAAGAACCAGAGCTCACTTCATCCTGCTGTGAAAGTGAGAGTCCCCCAACTAAGATGCAGAGTAATAATGAGATCACACCAGAGGGCACTGAGTTTATTGACCATCTACGACTCAGCATAATCCCATGGGATGACAAAATTTTGAGAATCATCTCACCTGAATTTTATTTAGGTACTGAAATGTTGGTAGAAAAGGTGCTCAAAGGGATTCATTGTCTCTGTTGTGATCGTTTGCTTAGATGAGCCTTCTGGGCAGTAAACACTTCTTTCCTGCAGTAGAGACTCAGGAGGTTTTGAGCTAGATGGAACCTTCTTGAGGCCAACCCTCCTTGTATAGATGAGAAAATGGAGGCCTTTTCTAAGGTCACACAAATGGCAAGTTACACAGCTGGATTTCAAATATAGATCTTATGACTCCAACTCCAGTTCTTCTTGGCTCTTTCCAGTACTCCTCGCAGAGTGACAAATGAACATAATAACAGATTGTATGTCTTTTTAAGGTTGGCCAGTTTCCTCACAATCACCCCCACAGGGAGATGGCCAGCAGGTGAAATGGGGGCTATAATAATCCCCACAATACTATCCTTACAGGGTCGATGTAATGATCAAATGAGGTATTATCCACAAAGTACTTTGCAAACCTTAGGGTGCTGCAGAAAGACCACTCTGTTCTTTTTAAAGTTTGGAACCTCGTAGTGAGGTAGAGGTGATCCCGAATTCCTGAAGCCCCAGCCCAGTGGGGCTGATGAGCACACAGGCAAACTCTGTTTGCCATTCAAGTCTCTCCCAGCCAGCCAAGGGCTCAGACGCTCATCACTACAAAGTACCTCCTCCACACCATGACTCTTTTGGCCCCTGGTCATTCCAGGCATGGGGCACACAGGAGCAAAGGGCAGGATAAGATGGGGAAATGACTTACTCAGAATTTATCCCAGCGACCAGCCGTCCATCCCTCTTTGTCCTGAGTCTCAGAGTCTTTGTTATGGTGGTCTGAGTAATGGTGACCCTCAGCGCCCCTTGATTTGCAGATGTTTCTATGCAGAAAGCCTTCTTGTAGCCTTCCAAGTTTCCAACGGGCTTGGTCCTCAGCTCTCCTCAAAGTCTTGCCATTTTTAAGGTGTTTAGGAATCTCAGAGTGTCCTTTCCTCCACCTTATATCTTTAAACTACTTAGACATCTCTTGTGGACCAAATACATTCATTTAGCTGATTCATACAGCACTTGCTTCAAAACGCTTACATCACATGTTGCTTGGAGAATGACCACAGGCTTTGTGCTTGAAAAGGATGCTGCTGATGCGGCTCATAGTTCTGCTTACAAGATTACACAGCAGTCCAGTCTGATGGCACTTCCTGAGCATCTGATTTGAGCAGCACACAGCCAGAGCTGAACACTGTGGGGCTACAGAGCATCCCTGGGGGTGGGTGTTGGGGCGAGAGTGGAAGATGCACACACACACACACACACACACACATCAGCATCACACAAAGCAGAAAGGTTTCACGTTTCCCGTACGGGGTGCTGTTCCCGGTGCTGTGTCAGAACAGGTAGCAGGACCCCTGGGTGCCCATTTATGCACAGGTCATATTAAGGCAGGAGGGGCTGGAATGAACAAATCCTACAACAGAAGATGTGGTGCCCTGGAGTACCTCGGCTTTTACGCTCTTGGAGAATCAGAATTTTGGAACGATTTTCAGAGATCATGCTGATCCCTTGTCCTACTGATACTGAGACCACTAGTTTCTGCCACTTGTTATAGTGTTCTTGATAGCCTGGGTGTCAACCCCCTTTGCCTGACATTCAGGGTCTTTGTTCCAGCCTTATCTCAGAACACACACTTATGAAGCACCTACTATATTCCCATCACTGTGCTAGGGACCACTATACTTGTGCACACGATACTTGGAATGTCCTCCTCCTCCCTCTTCACTTACCCATCCTTTAAAGTGTAACTCAGTACCATCTGCTTCGCAACACCTGCCTAAATCTCCCCCAAACCTCCTGTTCTGCACCCAGTCCATTCGGCCGTGTGTTATCTTGTATTCTAGTTATCTGTGTATGGCACACACTCCTGCTAGAGTCTCAGGGGAAGGACCCAGATGTATGTAAACTTTGTTCCTTCCCCAGCCCCGAGCACTGAATCTGGTCCAACCTCCCTACCTTCGCATAGAGAAAAGAGAATAGCAGAAATCATATGACTTGCCCAAGGTAATGCTGTAAGGCAGGGTCAGAGCCAGAAATCTGACTACACAGTAAATATTTTTATTTTTCAGCTCTGCAAAAATCATTGAAAGAAAAGGGTGGATACTTGGCCAAGATCCTCAACTGCTTTCCCGTTCGGATAATATCCTATATGATGCTCCCATGCACACTGCCTGTGGAATCTGTGATTTTTGTTGGGCAAAGGTGAGCCTTCTTCTAGGAGTTAAGAATGACTTTGAATCTTTCCTTTATTTTGCTTCCAAAGACTTTTATTTGGAGGAGCAGCTTCCATTAAAGCTGCCTTCCTGTCCTCAAAACTGTGTCCTAGTCACATGTAGCTCCAAAGTTGCACAATGAATAATACTTTAAATTATCTTAAGGTACTTCGATAGAGAGAGATGATTCTTTCTCTAAAATTTTATCCCTTCAAAATTTATTTAATGGAATTAACTTTTATCAACTACATCTTTAGCAGTCTCCTTTTATGAAATCCTAGAAATTGGGTTGGGAAGGACCTCAGAGATGATACAGTTCTCCCAACAGAGAGTTGATGGACTCCAGGTGCAGAATGAGATACATTTTCTTGACACTGGCCAATACGAGAATTTGATTATTCATATTTGTTACAAGGGTTTCCTTTTATTCCAGTGGGTATGTAGGAGGGAGGTGGGACAGAGATAAAATAGATTTTTAATGGAAAAAAAATTTTTAATGGAAAAAAAAAGATAATGCAATTCCATTTTGCAGATAAGGAAAGTGAGGCCTAGTTTTGTCCAAGGCCTACCTAGTGCCAGATTCTGGGCCAGTGGGTTTTGTCATTATACCACCCTGAAATCAACTCAACCCAATAAACATGGATTAAGAACCTAGTAGGTGCCAGGACTGAGATACAAAGACAAAACCCAAAGCCAATGACTGACAGCATAAGTGTACATCCCCCTCACTGAGCCCTGACCTCTCCCAACAACATGGCATTCTGGCCATCCTCTCCAACACCCTGGTGGTAACTCCTCTTCTTCCCCACCCCAACTAAATAAAACAAAAACCACACACTGAACTTGGAAGGGATGCCGGAATAGGAAGTTTATAGATCATCCCTCTGTCTCCATCCCTCAGCAGCCTCTCCTGACACAGCATCCAGATTGGCCGCCCTGTCAGCTCACTTTGGTTGTTGTGTCCCAGCCCCCAGCTCATCCCCCTCTTTTCTGGAGGAGCTCAGCATCGTGCGCCATCTCCTCTCCTTGCCAACACCTGCCTTTATACTAGTGGAGGTCAGCATTTGCATTGATGCTCCTTGATCTCCCCATTCCTTAGTCTTCTCAAACCTCCTTCCCTCCACCTCAGCCACACCCAGGGATGGCGATGCCCTGGATCTCATTAGCGTTTCCTACTTCCTTAAACAAAAACTCTGGCATGCTTCTATTTGGTCATTATTTCCTATCATTCCGTCTCACCTTTCCTAACCTTATTCTTCACTCTCATCCCCTCAGTACTTTCTCAAGTTACTACCTCTGCTCTGATTTCACTTTCCTCTTTTCCAATCTCCACCCTGTAGTTAACCAATTTGACTCCACATTGCCATCATTTCTCAAATCCCTATCACTATACCTCATCTCTTGCCAAACTAGCCATGCATGACTCTCACCGTCTGCCACCTCTGCTCCTACTCAAGGGCTGTCAAAGGAAGACATAGAACTGTGCTCACTGGGTGTGATATAAATTCATGTTATATAATTTCAGCAAGGCCCTCAAGGCAACAAGACAATCTCTTTTTTCCTCCCTGATTGATTCATTCCCTCAGAAGCTATTCCAGGCCTTCTCTTCTTTCCTCCATCTTCTCATACCTCTCTCTTTTCTCTCTCAGCTGAGGACCTTGCTTCTTACTTGGCTGAGAAAGTTGAACTCCCTCCTCTTTTTAGCTTAAAATCTCTTAACATCTCCCACTGCCAAGGCCAACCCCCCTATATGTACCTTTGAGCCCATCCTTCCCCATCTTCTCTAGCCGTTTGCATGCCCAGGCATCATCTCAAATATTCCATCTCTCCGGATCAACACGCTCAAATCTCTCCTATGTTAAAAAAAAAAAAAGACAAAACAAAAACCCCAAACTAATTTTACTGGACACTACCATCCCCTCAAGCTAGCGGCTTATATCTCTCATTGTTTTCTTGGCCAACTCTTAAAACACAAAACCTGCCCACACTTGTTGCTTTCCCTACCTGCCCTCCTATTCAGTCCTCGCCCTTTGCAATGGCTTTCAAAACAAGCGAAACCTTCCTCTCTGAAGTTATTAACCTCTCTTGAAATTTCTTTGGTTGTTTCTGTATAGCTCAGATTCCCCTCCCTATCCCTTTTCCACCCCCCCAAAAGCCATCCTATAGAACAGAGAATTTTTTTTCCAAAAAAAAAAAAAGAAAGAAAGAAAGAAAAGGAGAAAAGGAGAAAAAGAATTAGCAAAACTAAAAAGCGCACTGAACCCACCTGACAGCATGTGCTGTATGTATCATCCCAGAGCCCCGAGGGTGTGTCTCCTCCTGGCTCTTCCTCAGGGTCCAGCTCACTTGTCATCTCGTAGCCTTCCTTCTCACTGCTCTGTGGCTGCTCCTTCTGTTTCCATTGTTGTAGGCGTTGTTTTCTTGGCTCTGCCAGCTTCACTTTGGCATCAGTTCACTTGAGCTTCTCCATGTTTCTCTGAACGCCTCATTACTTCTTACAGCACAGTAATATTTCACTTATGTCCTTGTGCCATTTTTTAACCATTCTCTAATTGATGGGCATCTACTTGTTTCCAATTCTTTACTACCACAAAAACTGCTGCAATAAATATGGGGCTTTTTTTTTTCATCAATGACTGCCTTGGAGTATATGCCTAGTAGTAGAATCTCTGGGTCAAAGGGTATAGACTTGATTTGCACAATTCCAAGTTGTTTTCCAAAATGGTTATGCCAATTCACAAGTGCATCCGAGCGTGTTTTCCACAAAGTTTCCTCTCTCCAACACTGACTCTTCCTATCTTCTGCACCTATAATTTATGCCCTCTCTGTCAGGATATAACCAGCTACCTGATCTTTAGAATCGTCACTAGTCATTGTGTTGATCAAGGTTCTCAAGTCTTTCTTTGTTGTACATTTTTATTGTAGTATTGTATAAATTGTTCTCTTGATGAATGGTTTCTTAACTGCAAAATATGAAGCATTATTAATGATGCTATGTAACCTTCGCATAGCTCTTTGAAGTTTCCAAAGCATTTCCTCCAATCCTGTGAACTAGGTAGGTCGGGTATTATAAGATGAGAGTCAAGAGGTGAGTTCTTCCCAGAACATGATGGTGAAGTGTTCCTTCTGTCCACAGGTAAAGAAACGGGGAATGGTAGGTAGAGAACGAGCCATTCAAGCATGGCCAATGTGTTACTTGGCTTCACTTGGCCGAACTTACTTCTTACTACTGGTGGGGGAGAATTGCCGGGAAGTAACAATGATGTTGTGAATAAGGAAAGAGCATCGATATAACTTTCTTTAAAAAGAAAAAAAAAAACAGAAGTGAGAATCAGAGAAGTTAAATCAGGATCACAGACAAAGTGAGCAGCATATAGTAGGACAAGAGCCCCAGGTGTCTGGCTCCTGGGCCAGCACCCTCTTTGTATCCCCAACATCTAATATAGTAGAAGCTAAATCAATACTTATTGATTGATTGATACTTGAGGTCTTTGATTTGTGTGTTGTTCCTCAGAGGCCCGAAGTCTTCATGATGACACATCCAAGTCAATGCAAAATAAACACTGGCATGCCAATGAGAACAGTTTTGTAGTTCTAAAATAGGAGCATTTGATGCTAATCTTTTGTGCCTCACCCAGTGCTTCCAGCCCTTCCCTGGGCCCAGCCCTGGTACTCAGACTTGTTTATCTTTATGCTGAAATGGGGGGTGCGCTTGTTTCTTCCCCCCAGGCTATTGAGATGGTTTCCAGATATGCCTGATGACCTCGAATGGCTGCAGTGGGCTGCTTATAAAATTTTCCGTCTAGCATGAGAGTATCTCCTCCTAGTATCCAAGTAAGTAGATTATTTAGCTGGATATGTGTGTATTCAAGACAGGAAGCCCCATTACTCTTTCAGGCAACATTTACTGGACAGCCAGTGTATTCGGGATAATATAGTAGGTATATGGGATTTGGAGTGAGAAGGGATCATAAAGATCAAGTCCTGGGGTCCAGATTTTGTTTTTAAATATTTTGATAGGGGCAGCTAGGCGGCACAGTGGATAGAGCACCAGCCCTGGATTTGGGAGGACCTGAGTTCAAATCCAACCTCAGACATGTAACACTTACTAGCTGTGTGACCCTGGGCAAGTCACTTAACCCCATTGCCTAGCCACACACACACAAAAATTTTTGATAGCTATTTCGGTGTCACTGGTTTCCCTGGTAACCCTATGCATTTAAAAATAGGATTCTGAGAGGGGGTCTACAGGCTCCAGCAGGCTGCCAAAGGGATCTATGACACCAAAAAGATTAAGACTCCCTGATTTACTCTAAGCCTTTCATTTGACAGGTGAGGAAATGAAGGCCTTTTCCAAGTCTGCTGAAGTCGTTGTTGAGACTGGAGATGAACCTATGCTTCCAGAATTCAAATCCAAGTGATTTTACCCCAGATATTCCTTCCTGTTACAATCTAAGAAGACAAAGAGTTGTTTTTACTTTTTAGGAACCAAAACCCGTCTTTAGGAAAAAGCCATCAGTTTGCCTGTCTCAAGCAGCCTGCCCTTGCTTAGAAGCTCTGAGCTTTTCTACACATCTGGAAGACAGGCTGAGTGAGGGCCCTTCAGCTTCATGTGCAATGGAGGTTGAAGCTAGCAATGAAAGATACTCCATCTTAAAATCCAACCTCATGTTTTCTCAAATGGTAAAATGCCTGGGTAGAAGAAAATTCTAACATCTCCTCTCCAATACAAAAGCAATTTATAAGTCACTTGAGAAGAGAAATTTAGAACAATATTTCTAAGAGCATAAAATCCTTTATATAAATTGAGAGTTACTTTTCAAACCTGGTTTATAATGGCCCACTAGACGCTATAACCATACAGAATTGTGGCTTCTGTACTGAATTTTCCAATTTACTTTTATAAAAAATGTAAAATAGATAAAGAAAAATTTTTAGTTAGTTTTAAAGGAAACAAAATATTACTGCTCTTCCTTTCCTAAGTCAAGTGTTTGAGTTGGTTAGGTAAATAGGTTAGGGAATGATGCTTCAGAAAAGGAAAAGGCCACTGACCCAGCAGGCAACCATCTCACTGGCTGATATGGGATCATTTGGCACAGAGAATATTTTCATCTCTCTTTTGGAGGAACTTTGACCACTTCAGTAAAGAGATTCAGAAAGACATAAGGTCTTTTAATGTTTGTGCGGCCTGTATCTATGTGCATTAATGTCTGTAAGTTTGAAAAAAAAAGTTTTTTAAAAAGTGTAATAGTTTTATTTGCATCAACGTGAGTATGTTTAAGCTGTCTCTGATAAGCCGGTACTTCATCCCGGTGGCGTGGGCCCCTCCCACCCCTTCGAAATCCCCCTTCGCAACATGGCAGGTCTGGAGCCAACTCTTGCAGGCTCTTGCAGCTTTGGTTTCCTGGCATCTTGTAGGTCAGCCGCCTCTGCCCCTGCGGCTGCATTATTGTGACACTTATTTTGACATTACGTCTTATTTTATTTCACTCTAATAATCCCTGATGAAGTAACTCCTATGTCATAGGTGCTAGGCAAAGAGACAAAAACAACTGAGAGAGTGCCTGGCCCCATTAGAATTGGAGTAGGGAGGCTAGGAGACAGTGGGAACTAAAGTGTAGGAGAGAAACACGGTATTGCCCAGAGCACTGTGTTAGCTGGGGTTTAAGACCAGGTACACTGCAAATTTGGCTGTTTTACTGCATTAGTATGCACCTTTTATTTCAGAAATAAATATGACTAAGATTTCAGATTGATTCCCTAGAGGCTGTAGAGAGCCTCTAGGGCTACCATCTTCATCTGAAAATGACCCCTGGAAAAGTCCTAGGCTTCTCAACATCCATAGAGCTGGGAGGTGTCGAGAAAAGAGACATGGGGAGGTTGCCTGGCCTAGGTTACACAGGTGGTAAGCACAAGCAGCAGGATCTGAACTCATGTCTTCAGCAGAGTATGTCACTGTCTCATGGACGAGTGATGTTTATGTGTCAGACTGACATCTCCTTGAGGGCTGCTGTTTGTCCTTCATTCTCAAAGAGGACCAATGATGCCAGGGAGTTGATGCCATGACGTGCAAGTGAATTGGACTTAAGTGAGGGAGGGCTGCGCAAAGTCACCAGCCTCACTTTCTCCCCTGGAGCCCTGTTGCAGGATATTGATCAGGACTACTGGAGATGTCTCTGGATGCAGTGGGCAGAAAATACTCAGATATTCTATACGGTGTTGAATATTGTGCTGCGCCCTTTAGGGGGATCTCATAAAGTCAACTGTTCACTTCCACTGCCTGAGAGAGTTTAGAGGGGTATTTGAAAAGAGGGAGGATTCCTTTTTGTTTTAGCATCAAAAGAGGTCAGCTGAGTGACAGTGGATACAGCCGTGGTTCTGAAATCAGGAAGACCTGAATTCGAATCTGGCCTCAGACATTTACTTGCTGTCAAGCAAGTCACCTCACCCTGTTTGCCTCAGTTTCCTCAGCTGTAAAATGACCTTGAGAAGGAAATAGTAAACCATTCCAGTATCTTTGCCAAGAAAACCCCAAATGACACCATGAAGAGTCTGACTCAACTGAAAATTGACTCAATAATAAGGATCCTAAGGCCAATCTTGTCTCTAAAATAAGACTAAATTTAAATATTGCAAGGATCATTATTAATGATTTTTCAGTAGAACTTGTTTTCAATGGAGTCACTTAGAGTATCACAGATTTATAACTAGAAGGGCCCTTTGAAGAGTTAGTCCAATCCTCTCATTCTGCATGAATAAGGGGAATCCTTGGCCAAAAATTCAAACCCAGGTCATCTGATTCAGAAGCCTCCATGTCCTATGAACAGGTAAGTGACAGCTGAGGTTCATGATCGTGTTAATGGCTTTCAAAGAGGGAGAAAGCAGCCAGAAGAAATGGTGGCCCTCCAAGCCTCTTCCCACACCCTCTCCATTCACTCAATCTCAGTGAAGCTGTAATCGTGCACAAGAGCCAGAGTCCGTCTGCTGTCAGTTTCAGGCCAGGGAAATGGTCCCTTCAGTCAGTTTCCATGACTATTGCTGTTGTTTTTCAGTTGTGTCCGACTCTCTGTGACCCCATTTGGGGTTTTCTTGGCAAAGATACTGGAGCGGTTTGCCATTTCCTTCTCCAGCTCATTTTATGGATAAGGAAACTGAGGCAAACAGGGTGAAGGTACTTGCTCAGGGTCACGCAGCTAGGAAGTGTCAAGTTGGATTTGAACTCAGGAAGATGAGACTTCCTGACTCCAGGCCCTGGTCTCTATCCATTGTGCCACCTGGCTGTCCCTCGTTGGCAGCTGTTACAGAGATCCTGGTCATGTTTCTAAATCACTTACCCAGTTCCCTAAATTTTCTTTTTCTGGCGACTTTTTGCCTGATTTGTGGAAGCGTCTATAACTCTTCCCCAGCCCTGGAAGAATGTGGCCAGCACTTAGCTCATTAAGATGAAGCCCACAAATCATAAGTTGTAAAATAGGCTGGAATAATTTACATCTCAATTTGCTCAGATCATAGGCTTATTGGAGAACTTAAAATGAGGATATAATTTCCTCTATGTTGAGCCTCAAAGTGTTGATCAGGTCTTCATAGTTTTCATATTTTAATTTCACAAGACAAGAGCATTAGCATGGCAGCTCCCTGAGGGCAGGCAGGGCCCAGTTTTTTGGCCTTTCTTTGTATCCCTAGCACTTAGTACACAGTTCCTGGCCCTTGCTGAGTGTGATTGAGGACTACAACTATTCCAATTAAACTCATACAAGGTTGTTTTATAAGACAGAATTCCAAAGTCACTGATACTTGGTCTCTCTGGAACAGAAGTAAGAACAGGAAAGCGGCCCAAAGGCCTCTCCTAGCCATAGGTACTAAGGTTCCTGGCGCTTTACTCCACAGAACGCCCCACTGATCCTCACTGAGAGTTGAAAGACTTTCAGTTCACATATAATTCTAATAGTTAACCTGCTAGACATATTGGTACCCTGTTACCTCCCTGCTCCAGACACTCAACCAGCCCCCTTTTACTTCCAGGATAAACACAGCCTCCTCGATTTGGCCTTTAAAGCCCTTCACCTCCTTATCGGGGCCTCTTTAGGCACACTCTTTTCCAACCACACTCTAGCTGTGGCTAATCCATGACATCCTATCTCTGGGTCTTCCCACAGGTTAACCTTCGAGGCTGAAATGTCCTCCTTCCTCTTATCTACCTAGAGAATGCCTAGCAGTCCAGGCCAAGTACACTTTGTACCCGAGGCCTATTCTTATTGCTTCATTCATGCTCTGTCTCTCTGATCCCAAGGGGAAAAATGTGTCTTTGTTTCTTAAAAGGCAAGGGAAACTCCCTCTACCAAATCTCTCCCCAGGATTAGGCAGCCACCTGATTTTTTGGTTTATCTAAAGGGGAAACAGATTCCTAAGTTATAGTGACAACAAGCAATTGAGGGACAAATCTTCTGCAAGGAAACTGTTACCTGTGGTGGGGAAAGAACAGGCTTGTCCCTGAAGGGAAGTCGGGCCAGGAGCAGAATGTTCTCCAGCTCCGTGGAGATCCAGGCTTTTGGCTACGCCCACTTCCTTTAGCCGTTTCACAGTCCCACCAGGAAGCTCACCAGTTCTGGGCCCCTGAGCTTTCAATCATCATCCACAGCGACAACCTTTCATGATCCCCGAAGACAGAGGGGAGCAGGATGCCCAGGAACTGGACCCACGCAGCCCCCCCCCCCCCAGCCCACAGCCCTCCTCCACACTGGTGGGCAAGATGGTTGGTGCTCTTCTTCCCAGAAATTCTTTTCACAAGAAGCTTCAAGTCGCCACCCTGTTAAATTCTGGGGCAGAATCCGACACGTCCACGGCAATGCTCAAAATGCAGGTGCTACAGAGGCTGTTTAAGAAGGCAGTCTGGGATAATACCGACTTGTTCAGCTGCTGAAACTTCCCTCCTTGTTTTACATCTCAGGGATACTTTGGGAGATTCCCAAAAGGGTCTCGCCCTCAGAGATGGTGGCTCGTCTGCGAGATGAATCAATGCGCTGTGAGAGGCTCTGCACACACTGCTCCTTCTCCTCTTGGATAATGTTATTGATTTCATGTTGTTGATGTTATCTTCTAGACTCTAGATTCAGAATCTAGAGAGACTCGAGTCCAGGCATTTTAAAATCATGAATTCTTATGTTTATTAAGTGCTTACTGTGTGTAGGTCACCATAGCCAGGCTGTTGAGGGGATAGAGAAGATACAATTTCTACCCTCCTGTTTCCTACAGTTTGGTAGCATGATGAGGTAAAACACAGATTTCACTCAAGTCTGATTTCCTGGGGTGGGGTGGGGGAACTAACTCCTCCCCCAATAGCCCTTCTACATATAGGACCCGAGAAGTGCTGTGCCCCAAACATTCTCGCCTCCATGGCCGTTCTGGTGCAAGGCTTCTCTAATCTCTGTTAGGCTGGTCAAGGGACACAGTCTGTCACCAGGCCCATCAGGCCCAACAGATAAATAGGTTACCAGGAGCCCCAGGTGTGGTCCAGCCCACTCTTGTCTTAGATGACACAAATAACTTAAAGGACCTGTCTGTCCGGAGTGAGAGGCAGAGATGAGCCCTGAAGCCTGGTGTCCTGGGTCCCCAGGCTGTGACGAGCTACATTAATGATGGTTGGTCATTTGTCCTCAGGGACCCGGAAACCTTCATTTTTTCCACAAAATCCTTAAAACGGAGCCAGAAGGTCCCTCAGAGGCCACCTTGTCCACTGCCCTCATTTTTATAGTGAGTGAACCCAAGGCAGAAGAAGACTAAGTGACACCCCCATGGTCACATCGGTAGGAAAGGGCCAAAGCCAAATTCACACTCAGGTCCAGCAACCACAAATTTGGTGCTCTTTCCACTGGATTATCTTCTCCTCTCTCCACTTCTTTTCAGTTACATTGCTGTAATGTAAGCCCTGAATGATGTTCTGGCTCAGAACAAGTCATTCTAAAAAGTCAAGTTATCAGCCTATTTATAGGTCTAACCTCTCTCACCCAAACTTTCATTTCAACCATTAAAAGATTTGTCACGTGCCCACTTTGTGCAAAGTGTTATTCTCAAAGTGTCTGAAGACACAAACACGAAACCCACTGAAATGGCCATTACCCTCAAGAAGCTTATGTTTTACTGGGGGGTTACAGAGAAATACAAAGACTCTACCAAGCGATGCAAGGTAATTTCAAGAGGTGGAAAGCACAAAAGCCTGAAAGACCTCCTGGAG